TCCTGATTGTCCTGGTCTCCTATGGTTTCATTCTGTTGGCCATTCTGAAGATGCACTCTGCTGATGGGAGACAAAAAGTATTCTCTACATGTGGTTCTCACCTAACTGGAGTGTCAATTTATCATGGGACAATCCTCTTTTTGTATGTGAGACCGAGTTCCAGCTACACTTTGGAGCAAAACATGATAGTGTCAATATTTTACTCCATTTTGATTCCCATGCTGAATCCCATCATCTACAGTCTGAGGAAGAAAGATGTCAAAGAGGCAATGAGAAGAAGGTTAAAGAGACATTGGTTTATAAGTAAAGTGTATTTTCAGCATTGAGTAAACATGTAAATGTGTTGGGTGTAAGTTTCTATCTCTGTGGTCAGAAACTAGTGAAGAAAATGTCTTGGTTTTAGTTAATAGTGCTTGCATGTTTTAGAATATTTCCAAATAAAGCACTGTTCAGCCCTTTAACTTAGCATCTTCAAAATTGAGACAAATTGTGTCACCTATAAATCAATTACTATGTTCAAAGGGATACATATTAAATATTCTTTGATGTGAGTAGATTATTGTTGTTAGTCATTGTGTAATTTGATTTTCAGTTATTATAGCTAGAGCTTATATCTTCAGGCTTGGATTGATTGATATACCCTGACTTTGTTTATAATAAGTCTTCATCAGTTGTTACAAAATTACTTCTGCATTCTAGAATATCTACAAAGGACCTCCCAAATGTTACTTTCTTTCTCCTTCTTGTGTCCTCACACACTGAGATCCACCCAAGTTTCTGGACATGTTTTTGCTATATTTGGCCAAACATAATATAGTTTTATTCCATTATTAAAGTGTTACCTTGCCAATGCTCAATTATAGAAATTAAATACCTCTCTTCTGAACCTACTAAAAAGACTGATTCTAGATGGTAATATTTACTGAGACTGTACTTCAGTTCCTGGAAAACAAATAAAAGTATAGCTTAGAAAATCAGCTACACCTAAATTAGTACAGTCATGGAAAACTGTACATAAGAATTGAAATCAATATGTTGAACATTCCAATGTTTATTGCAACACTGTTCACAATAGCCAAAGTATGGATTCAAACTAAGTTTCCATCAATGGGTGAATGGAGGAATAAAATGTTGTACATATACACAACACATAACATTCAGCCTTAAAAGGAAAGAAATAATGCCATTTGGGAAAACATGGATGGATTTAGAGGAGATTAGGTTAAGTGAGATAAGCCAGGCACAGAAAGACAAATCGTGCATTATCTCACTTATATGTGGAATTTAACAAATGCTGAATTCATAGAAATAGAGAGAAATATGATGATTACCAGAGGCTTGGTGGGGGTGTGTTGAAGGGTATAGGAGAAAGTGAATGTAGATTTGCTAGTCAAAGCATACAAAATTTTCAGCTAGACAGAAGGATTAAGGTTTTAGGCCTATTGCATGGCAGGGTGAGTATAGTCAACAGTGATGTATATTTCAAAATAACTAAGACAATATTTCAAATATATCACTGCAAAAAAATGACAAGTGCGGTAACAGATATGCTAATTAGCTGGATTTAATTATTCCATATTGTATTAATATATCAAAACATCACATTGTACTCCATAAATTTAATACAGTTATGATTTGTCAATTGAAATAACATTTTAAAAATTACAAAAGAATAAATAAGAAAAGACACTAAAAATGGCTAATATACATAAGTGTGTGCTAGGATCTGAATAGCTAGCCTAGGCTGATTTTAGGAATTCTTATAATCCTAAATTCTTACTCAGTTTGTAATTCTATCTTTAACC